TCCATGTGTGTAAGATTATTTAAGGATTGACCTCTATGTGTGTAAGGTTATTTAAGGAGGTACCTCCATGTGTGTAATGGTATTTAAGGATGTACCTCCATGTGTGCAAGGGTATTAAAGGGTGTACCTCCATGTGTGTAAGATTATTTAAGGAGTTACCTCTATGTGTGTAAGGGTATTGAAGGGTGTACCTCAATGTGTGTAAGGTTATTTAAGGATGTATCTCCATGTGTGTAAGGTTATTTAAGGGTGTACCTCCATGTGTTTAAGGTTATTTAAGGATGTACCTCCATGTGTGTAAGATCATTTAAGGATGTACCTCCTTGTGTGTAAGATCATTTAAGGATGTACCTCCATGTGTGTAAGATCATTTAAGGATGTACCTCCTTGTGTGTAAAATTACTGAAGGATTTACCTCCATGTGTGTAAGATTATTTAAGGATGTACCTCCATGTTTGTAAGGTTATTTAAGGATGTACCTCCATGCGAACTGTTGGAATATTCGTCACTGAACACAAGCGAACTTTCCGAAAATTCGGAAAGATGCTACATTCAAGCAGATTATATTTCTCGTAAGGTGCATCTAGAAACAACACTGGACAGTAAACAAAGAAAGCTACACTTTTGACGTTTTGTCTTTCTATCTATACAAACTGCCAAACAAACAGTATGTGTCCTTTATGGATGTATGTCCATGTGTTACGCTCACTTACATTCCATGCACCCTGGAATATGGCATGGCAATCAAACTAGTCTACTGACAATCAAACTAGTCTACTGGCAAACAAACTAGTCTACTGGCAGCAATCTTACTAGTCTACTGGCAGCAATCAAACTAGTCTACTGGCAATCAAACTAGTCTACTGGCAAACAAACTAGTCTACTGGTAGCAATCAAACTAGTCTACTGGCAATCAAACTAGTCTACTGGCAAACAAACAAGTCTACTGGCAATCAAACTAGTCTACTGGCAATCAAACTAACAACTGACATTCAAACTAGTCTACTGACAATTAAACTAGTCAACTGGCAATCAAACTAGTCTACTGACAATCAAACTAGTCTACAGGCAATCAAACGAGCCTACTGGCAATCAAACTAGTCTACTGGCAACCAAACTAGTCTACTGGCAAACAAACAAGTCTTCTGGCAATCAAACTAGTCTTCTGGCAATCAAAGTAGTCTACTGGCAAACAAACTAGTCTACTGGCAATCAAACTAGTCTACTGGCAAACAAACAAGTCTACTGGCAATCAAACTAGTCTACTGGCAAACAAACAAGTCTTCTGTCAATCAAACTAGTCTTCTGGCAATCAAAGTAGTCTACTGGCAAATAAACTAGTCTACTGACAATCAAACTAGTCTACAGGCAATCAAACGAGTCTACTGGCAATCAAACTAGTCTACTGGCAATCAAACTAGTCTTCTGGCAGTCAAAGTAGTCTACTGGCAAACAAACTAGTCTACTGACAATCAAACTAGTCTACTGACAATTAAACTAGTCTACTGCCAATCAAACAAGTCTACTGACAATCGAACTAGTCTACTGACAATCAATCTAGTCTACTGACAATCAAACTATTCTACTGGCAATCAATCTAGTCTTCTGGCAAACAAACTTGTCTACTGGCAGCAATCTTACTAGTCTACTGGCAACCAAACTAGTCTACTGCCAATCAAACTAGTCTACAGGCAAACAAACGAGTCTACTGGCAGCAATCTTACTAGTCTACTGGCATTCACACTAGTCTACTGACAATCAAACTAGTCTACTGACAATTAAACTAGTCTACTGGCATTCAAACTAGTCTACTGACAATCAAACTAGTCTACTGGCAATCAAACTAGTCTACTGGCAATCAAACAAGTCTACTGGCAATCAAACTAGTCTTCTGGCAATCAAAGTAGTCTACTGGCAAACAAACTAGTCTACTGACAATCAATCTAGTCTACTGGCAATCAAACTAGTCTTCTGGCGGTCAAAGTAGTCTACTGGCAAACAAAGTAGTCGACTGACAATCAAACTAGTCTACTGGCAAACAAACGAGTCTACTGGCAATCAAACTAGTCTTCTGACAATCAAAGTAGTCTACTGGCAAACAAAGTAGTCGACTGACAATCAAACTAGTCTACTGGCAATCAAACTAGTCTACTGACAATCAATCTAGTCTTCTGGCAATCAATCTAGTCTACTGGCAAACAAAGTAGTCGACTGACAATCAAACTAGTTTATAGGCAATGAAACTAGTCTACTGGCAATCAAACTTGTCTACTGACAATCAATCTAGTCTGCTAACAATCAAACTATTATATTGTCAATCAAACTAGTCTACTGGCAAACAAAGAAGTCTACTGACAATCAATCTAGTCTACTGGCAATGAAACTAGTCTCCTGGCAATCTAGCTTGTCTAATGGCAATCAAACTAGTCTACTGGCAATCAAACTAGTCTACTGGCAATCAAACTAGTCTACTGACAATCAAACTAGTCTACTGGCAGCAATCAAACTAGTCTACTGGCAATCAAACTAGTCTACTGACAATCAAACTAGTCTACTGGCAATCAAACTAGTCTACTGGCAGCAATCAAACTAGTCTACTGGCAATCAAACTAGTCTACTGACAATCATACTAATCTACTGGCAATCAAACTAGTCTACTGGCAATCAAACTAGTCTACTGGCAAACAAACGAGTCTACTGGCAATCAAACTAGTCTATAGGCAATGAAACTAGTCTACTGGCAATCAAACTAGTCTACTAGCAGCGATCAAACTAGTCTACTGGAAAACAAAGTAGTCTACTGGCAAACAAACTAGTCTACTGACAATCAAACTAGTCTACTGACAATTAAACTAGTCTACTGGCAATCAAAGTAGTCTACTGGCAAACAAACTAGTCTACTGACAATCAAACTAGTCTACTGACAATTAAACTAGTCTACTGGAAAACAAAGTAGTCTACTGGCAAACAAACTAGTCTACTGACAATCAAACTAGTCTACTGACAATTAAACTAGTCTACTGGCAATCAAAGTAGTCTACTGGCAAACAAACTAGTCTACTGACAATCAAACTAGTCTACTGACAATTAAACTAGTCTACTGGCAATCAAACTAGTCTTCTGACAATCAAACTAGTCTTCTGGCAATCAAACTAGTCTACTGACAATCAAACTAATCTACTGGCAATCAAACTAGTCTACTGGCAATCAAACAAGTCTACTGGCAAACAAATGAGTCTACTGGCAATCAAACTAGTCTATAGGCAATGAAACTAGTCTACTGGCAATCAAACTAGTCTACTAGCAGCGATCAAACTAGTCTACTGGAAAACAAACTAGTCTACTGGCAATCAAACTAGTCTACTGGCAATCACACTAGTCTACTAGCAATCAAACTAATCTACTGGCAAACAAACTAGTCTACTGGCAATCAAACTAGTCTACTGGCAATCAAACTAGTCGTTAGGCAATGAAACTAGTCTACTGGCGAACAAAGTAGTCTACTGGCATCATCCAAAATAGCGAGTTCGATTTTGTCATGACATATTCCAGTGATGCAGAGAAGCCTACTCCTGGATTGTTGAGGAATGAACTTTCCATCTTTAAAGAATCATAGATGGCACTGATGCTATTTAAAGATATATTCTACAGTTGATGAAATTATAAAATAAAAGACATGGGCCTTTAATCAATTCATTTCATTGAATTATAACAATTTCATATTAACTTACATAAGTCAAGCAAACAAAGTCGATATCAAATTTATCAACCCACAAAGGATATTAATGATCATTTAATGAACCAAAGCTTTCGCGCGATATTGTTTTCTTCATTAAATGGACTTTGAAATTGATAAAGATGGACTTGATACGTCCTGAAGTATCAACATTATGGCTGTATCTTTAATTGTGTTGTGCTTATTTGCATTTAAATTAATATTTTTGCAATCTTATTTGCATGAAAATGCAAAAAAAAAAGTTGCAATCGATGCACATCGATTTTGCTTGGAGACACCCTATTAGTAACAAATCGTGCAATGTTTTGTATGATAGACAGAAAAACAAAGATAGGATGGCTACATTTATGTACAGCCACTATAAAACATGCGATGTCGGTATTTGATCCAGGTGTGCTCAGACCGTTAAACTTCCTATGGTTAACAGTGAGATTGGTTCGATATTACACACACAATCATCCGCCAGAACAGAAAAGCACGGCTTTGCGTGAACCAAGAATTACATCTAAACTTACATAAGTAACGCCGATCGGACTTACGGTTATAAACGAATCCGTTAGTTTTTGTTTTAGCATGATTAACAGACATTTTACAAAACGAATTCCCATTGTTGAACAGTCAGTTACAACAACAGATACCCAAAGTATAGATATTTATATTCTGCAATATTAATACATATACTTACAGATTAGATAAATTAACTGGTTACATTTTATCTCTGGAATATAAGGTTTTATGGCAAAAATAAGGTTAACACTTTCTTTATAGTGACAAATATCACTTTCGCTCTTCTCACACATAACCTACCAGTGTTTATTGTGGAAAACTATTCACAATGGACAATGTCCTGTCCATTGTGATTGTCCAGTCCATTGTGACAATTGTCTGTTGTGACAATAGCTGTCATACTCATTGGTAAATATTTCTTCCCTTGAAACGAAGAGATGGAAATGTATCTCCAACACCCCCGCCCCCTTCCCTCCACCCGCCCCAAACAAATATATGCAATTTCGTCCATAATCATTATTTTTATTTTTGAAAGAAAACTGAAATATTTTGCTTTTGTATGAAAAACCTTGCAATTAAATAAGTGTATGCAAGGAGGTCATATAAAAACAAATAAATTGCTTATTCTGACGACTTAATCTACTTTTTTTCCAATTTTGAAGTGCATTTAAACTTTGGTCAATTAGATAGAGCAAACACACCGTTCACTGATGGAAGTTAAAAGCATGAAATGGGAAGTACTAGAGAAGTAACCTACCGGAGTTGACAAGTACGGCAGCGATGAGCGATATTGTGGCGATAACTCTTATCAACATTGTAGGAGATGAAATCGACCACGTCTCAATAAGTTTGATCTGCTGTCGTCTGCTATGAGGATGTAGATGTGTCCTATGAAGATTACACAGTGGATATAAACAAGCCAGCGTCCTGTATCCACATGTATACAATACAACTAGTCATGTTCCGGTTTCCGCCCTGTCGCATAGACATAGCATGTATTGTAGTACTCTCACCTTCACACTGAATTATTGTACAGGGCACTGGGTCGTCGTCTGTCCAGACCTCACGTGAAGTTATCATCATTCCCAAGTGTAAATGTCCTCACTGGGTGGCAGACTCAGTGGTGAGGTCGCCAAGTTAAAACTTCTATAAGAATTTATCAGTAATAGAATTAGGTCCTGCTGTCCTACATATACATATACATATATGATATATATATATAGCTTATCACACACGTCAATGCTTCCGTTCCTTGAGGGGCCTTCGTCCCCACATCTAACGCATACTTGAATAAAGAGTCTGTTAAACACATCTCTGATAATGGCCAAAGATCAACAGAGAGAAAGTCATATAATGAGGCATACAACCGCACCAGCACAGGGATTCGGTTCAGCAGTGAAACAGCAAGATAAATTCCAGTTCAGATATCCAAAACGAATCCGAATCAGTGAAATATCAGATACCCTTACAGAATCTGGATCAGATGCCAGGGGCGAAGCCAGTACCAAAGATATTTGTAAGCCCAGGCGAGGAGTGTCTGGGGGCCGCCCAAAGACTCCCAGCGGCACCTGGTTTGGTGGATCATGGCCAAAAAACCCCGATGGAAAATGCTTTTTAGGATTTTTAATGCATGAAAACTGTAGTCCGAGTACTTAAACGAATTATATCTCATATAACTTATGACTCATCCAGTTGTTTTGTTTCAGCCAGGCAGAATTCAGCTTTAACGTTTTAACACCCAGGATTAATAGAATCTTTCAACCCCTTGGGGTTGAGACAGGGTTATCTCAACCCGAGGGGTGAGATTCTTTAGTTAAAAGCCGAGTGTTTGACAGCTTAAGAATCTTAAGTCTCACTACCAAGGGGGTGAGATGGAAATGTATCTCCAACATGTTTACCCTCTTATGTATTTTATATAGACGTTACATCAATGCAAGACAATGTTGATGTGATGCGGCTTAATTGTTGCCATGACGTCATTGTATTATTGCCGTGACGTCATGGTGTTGTTGCCGTGACGTCATGGTATTGTTGCTATGACGTCATACAATTGTTAAGAACGTGCAAAGAACATGTGTAGCTTGTCTCAACCCTAGGGGGAGATAAGAAAATCTCACACCGGTAAAATGGTGGATATCCCTGTCCAGGGTAAGAGAAACGATGGTCTAACGTAACGTCAGTTTACTGAATGTATACATGGACTTCATATGCCATCTTTAAGAAAATGTTTGTTTTTTACATTTTGTTCAATGGGTAAATAGTGTTTTTTTCAGAAAGATCAAATTTCTTTATAAAAACGTTAATTTTGAACGTTGTTTTTTTTCTTCAATTGTATCAATATAGATCATTTTGCTCTGTAGTAGGTCGGTCTTGAAACAGCAAACAAACAATGTTTGTTGTTCCCAAATGTGAACAAACCATATAGTATTAAACTAACCTTCGGCTCCTAAGTTACACCATCTGTCATGACAAAATCGAAAGCTCAGTGTGCGCCATCTTGTGGATGCATCCTCGAAACTTCATAGGTTACGCTCACAGGGACCTGAGCATTTGTTACAGCTTTATTTGGACATAATCTAAGGAGTTCAGAGTAATTTTACATGATTAGGGGTTTACATGAAAATTCACACACATGACCGAGTATGACACATACACACTATCCGTGTGTCATTGACAGTTTTTCCCGTGCAGTTTGCTCTCTATAGGCGTTGACCAGTTTGCACGTTTTTCTCGTCCAGCCATCTAATTCGAAACTGAAAGTTTATTTTTCAACTGTTGGGTCATTCTGTGATTAATGCTATGCCGAGGCTCAATGAAAAAGACTGCCTCCGGATTATTGGTATGCTTCAAGCTGGTATGGGCCAAGCCGTTGTCTCTACACGTTTTCATGTCCATCGAAACACAATCCGGGATTTGTGGAGACGACATCAACAGTTTGGCCACGTCGGCGATCGACCTAGTGCGGGACGTCCGCGTGTGACGTCATGTCAACAGGACAACCATATTCGGCTTGTCCATTTGAGAAATCGCTTCCAAACGGCAAGTTTGACTGCACGGACAATCCCTGGATTGCTACCAATAAGCCCGAGAACTGTACGGAACCGATTGCGTGAACGAGCTATCCGTCCGCGACGTCCTGCAATCCGCCTTATTCTTCTGCCACGTCATCGTGTAGCACGTCTGGACTGTTGCAGAAGGCATCTGCAGTTTACTCGACGGGATTTGGCAGGCATTTTGTTTACGGACGAGTCGCGAGTCCACCTGGATAGTAGTGACGGCCGTTCCAGAGTGTATCGTCGAGTTGGAGAACGTTTCCGTGACGCGTGTGTGGTACAACGGCGTTCTTTTGGTGGAGGCAGCGTTATGATTCGGGGCGGCATCACAGCCAACGGGAGAACGCCTCTGGTGGTTGTTAACGGGAATTTGAACACGCTGCGATACCGTGACAGGATCCTCCGGACCCGCGTCGTTCCATTCGTGCAAGGGCAGCAACGTCACATTACGCTACAGCAGGACGACGCCAGGACGACGCCAGGCCACACACAGCTCGTGTCGCTATGGACTTTCTGGCCCAGCAGAACGTTGACGTGTTGCCCTGGCCTGCTATATCCCCCGATCTGTCGCCCATTGAACACGTCTGGGATGAAATGAAGCGCGACATTACGGGCATTACCTAATCAACCGGTGACGTTGGCTGATTTGGCTGCAGCGTTGGTACAGATCTGGAATGCCATCCCACAAGCATTCTTGAACCGTCTGATAGGCTCCATGCGTCGACGTTACCAGGCTTGCATTCGGGCAAACGGTGGGCATACGAGGTATTAACTTTGTGAACTCAGTATTAACCCCTGCTGTGTTTACGTCACTCCTGAGCGGAACTTATTGATTCCATAACGTGGAAAATGGAATGCAACTGTTAATAAATAACAAATAAATTGTCCCTGAAAACCTTGTTGTTCTACGTCATACACATTTATTTTTATAACACATTTTAGACATGCACAGTTTCTTTTTTCCGCTAGTATATATTGCGTAGCCGGGGCAGAGGAGGCCGGGTATTAATATTAGAATTAGGTGACATGGTGTGACAATAGTCCCTATTTAGTGGTGCTGAGGATGGTGATGAAAGGTTTGGACAATGACTGGACGTCTAGACCGGAAGTTATTTATGTGGACCCTAGTGACGTTTCGGAATCCTTTACAAACGATGCAGATTGTATCCTTATCGTTAATGAGTATTTGGTAAGCCTGTAATACACATTTACAGGGGCGTAACAAACGGGTTTTCAATGTGTAAGCCCAATGATGAAGTGTGCTGCCTTCGGCAGCACCCCGAAGCGCGTAGCGCGATGAGGGGGAGGGTGTGGGAGGGGGGGGGGGTTCCCCCTCCCAATGGGGGGGGTCTGGGGGGTCTCCCCCAGGAGAATTGTGTTTTCTAGATTACATGAGACGCGTTCTCCCTTGTTCTGGCGTCAGTTTTAATGGCCATTTTAAAGCAAGAAAATATCGTTTTCCCCTATTATTTTACAAATATTTTGCTTCTTTTTGGGTTCGTAGGAATTGGTACTTATCTACGCCAATTCTATTATGGAATTCGGTAACATTATTCCACGGAAAAGAAAAATCTAAAATCATGTGGATTTTGGTATAGTTGTTGTAAGAGTGTGACGTTTCTCCTCGCGACTGTGACTCCGGTTGCCCAGGGATATGAGACTAGTATCACAAGCTAGCACTAGGAATAGTTGAACATTATGTACATAAGAACCGATATACTGGTCAATGTGTAAAATATAAAGCCATGGTTTATGACCATTCCATATGTATTTTGTATTAATAAAGGGGATAAAAATCATAGGAACAGTTTATTTCACGGGGAAAACTAGAGTTAGTGTTTGGGTACACCGATAATTAGCAAGACTAGAGTTTCACTGGCGCGATTACCATGCCGAATGAATATGCTACCCTCAGTTCTACATTTGTTAGAGACTTTGACTGCAACGAAGCATTTTAGTTGGCGGTCTTTATAGCAGATACAAAACATCTGTCATTGTTTTTTAATATTTTACATCATATATTCTATGTTGCGTTTATAATTTTTTTATTTGTCAAAAATGATGTGTAAGCCCGGGCTTTTTTGCTACATAGGTTGTTACGCCCCTGATTTAAGAAATTAGGAAATCTAGACAGAGCGGTTTCTTGGTTATCAAACAATCCTACATGTACATGTAGTTCATAGTAGCAGAACATGCAAGTGATTGCGGACAAGGACTACGTAAATAGATGATTTCTCTGCAGGCACAACAACATACGTATAGCATGTTGATCGTTGAGAGATCTGGCGTAGTCTTACTCAGAATCAACAGTATCTTGCCATTAACATTCCAGATGATAGTCCTTTGATATTTAGGACTCTACAGCGTAAAGAAGCAACTATATAAAATATAGTTTGTTGGTGAAGAACGGCAAACAAAGTAAACAGTTACTACACCATATGACAAGTCCGTCCATGTAGGACTAATCAAGGGTACTAGAGATCAAAGAATGAAAAAAAACTTTTCTAAAGCGTTTCGAAACAACTGCAGAATGCAGCAAAATGAAAAGGTTACTATAAAACCCTTCATGACGTAACAAAATTTACAAAAGGCTGTATTTATTCTCAAACTAGTACTTCATGTTAACCGTGCCAAAACTAAGTCCAGCTTCAAGGTTACGACCATAGAGATAGTCCATTAGCAGAATCAACCATCTTCTTGTTACGTCATCAAACGTAGTCATCGGTACACCATATTAGGTTATGGACAGGGAGTAGGTCAAGGTCGAGTCTTCTCCGCCTGTTGTTTGCTTGTTGTGATTAAGTCTGTATTCTCGTATCACGTGCGTTATTTTGTGTGTCACTTTAGCATTGTTAAAATTAAACCTGTTTGTATGGATAGTCTAATCTAGAAGTTTAATTTTTAACTATAACGTAAAGCTAAGTCAGTTTCCGTAATTGGAAGTGATTTTTGAGATGCTGGTGGATTACGTGTGCGATCTGAAGGGCGACCTTTCTAATTATGTTAATCAGTGTACCTTTTGCGTTTGTTTTCACTATTGAAGTTTTCACTTATGGCCGTGACATTACTTCTATTTGACTTAGACTTACAGGTTGAGTGCCGTTGACGAAGCCGATGATGCTCACCCTTCTGGAACACCTGGTCTCTTTTTAACCCTGTACTGTTTCGGGGGTCTAACTTTTTAGTTTCGTTGAATTTTTAGTTCGCATTGTGGTTTTGTTCAAGCTTAATTATTCTTCCTTTTTCGTTATACCATTTGTACTTTTTATGTAAATTATGAGAGAAATTTAGAAAATATAGTTTGTTTGACGATAAAAATGATGTTCATCAATATTTTCATGAAATAGGTATATATCGGTAGCGCCCTAGAACTAACCCAATACAGGGATTTAACAGACTTTCCGCTCGTGACTCATTGGTTGAGTTGACAGGCATATAAAGCTAGTTTCCTTCCGTTCATTTCTCTGAAGGACGTTTCCCCCTTTGAACTACTGTTCTGGCGGCAGATTACATTTTCTGTTCAGCTGAGTTTTATTTCAGGACATTTATATCAGTTACTTTCACCCACAAAAGCACGCCAACCCATATCTCTTTGTTTCCAATGTAGATAATATAACCATATGTTACTCTCAAAATGCACGAGACATGTTGTTAGACACCACATTAACAACAGCTTATTCAGGATGTTGTTATTTGCGTGATTATTTTTGTTGTGAACACTTCAGAGGACTACAAGTTTACGTGCAGTTCATCTTTTAATTTTGGTTTTCATTTATTTACTAATCTATTGTATTTATTTCTGATGAAGCTGAGTTACAAGCGGAAGGATGATTGAGGAAGGGAAATAAAATATGTTCCATGTGCAATAGACGCGCACGTGCATGTTTAATTTGCTCCAATCGCACGTGCATGCCATTTCTATTCGAAAATAAATCAGTGAACCTCGATCAACGGTCATGGATGAGTTTGCTTTATCGGTTGAGGTAACTAGTTATTAAAAAAACAACGAGGCATCGTGAGAATAAAAAATATGATTGGTGCATAAGAACATCTTACTTTTCATCAATTTGATTACATAGATCATGCATACTTTTGTATTGAGGTAGAAAAAACCCACTTCCCATGATATTTTGATGTGGCAGCCTAAGGTTACTGCGGTAAATATAATGAACATTATAATATCTAATGCAATTTGATAACTTGGTTGGGAAATGTTTGACAAAATATTTAAATCTACTGTTTTGTGGATTATAAAAGTTCACGAACCAAGTGCGCGTTCCATTGTTTGTGAATATGTCGACGTAAAAATTAAATGGACTTGGTCGGAAATATAAATTCCGTCTTTCGTTTCTATTTATTACATTACGTCAGATTGTTTCCGGTGTCGTGTCTCCGTCTCATGCTGGTTTGCGGCGAAATATTATTTGAATCCTAATATTTTAACTGCAAAGAGCAATATTGTATACATTTTAAAACAATGTAAGTACTCCGTGTGTGTCGTCCAAACTAGGTGACACATTTGCTTAGCTTAATAACTTATTAGTTATCATAAGTTCGTCAAGTCGGCATCTGCCACAACTGTTTTTAGTCTGACGACTCAGATATACACAACCGTTTCGTTTATGACTGTTTAGATCTAAGAACGATTTCACTGTCTGGACAAGATTTATTTGTTTGTGAACGGTCCTTGTAGAAGGTTACGTCGATGATAAATTACATTGTTGATTACTGAGCAAGACTGGCAGTGTCTGCATTATATACAATATATTATATATCCTCTCGTCATAGGTTTCGGCGCGACCAATTTATCGAGCTATTTCGTCTTTGCGTATTGCAGAGTTATCTTCTCTTGTGAGCAGGTATTGATTGTTACGTCATTTGTTTGTGTGAGAAAATTACGTCGTTTTCTCAAAATTTTAAGACGTTACTCTCGCAAACAAATGACGTCACAATCAATACCTGCTCACAAGAGAAGATATCTCTGCAATACGCAAAGACGGAATATCCGAGTTCTTATCTCAGGACAGCGTGACTTGGGTGACCACACACGAGAATAGTTTTAGACTTTAGCACACTGTCGGTTGACTGTCAAAAATACCGAACAGAGAACCTGATTTTTTTAACGAACGTGTGTTGCGGAACTGAACCTGGTCGCCGTGTACATCTTGGGTCCTGGTTTCGAATCATTGTCTGACCATACATATTCCGCTCCTGTTACACAGGCATAGATTGCCTGACCCAGTCTGTTTTGTCATCTTGTCAAACTTACAAGAGTAACGTATGCAATCGAGGACATACTATAATACTTCCTTGTAAATTGTTTCCAGAAAGAGACTCTTCCATCGATGAACACTATTTGCAAAATAAAAAAATAAAACAATAAGATCTTGCTTTGCCTTGAACTTTCAATTTAATTGATTAAAAGTAAATAAAAAAATAAAAAAATACCATGAAACAGAACTTTTATTAGAATGCACAAAGAAATAATAACAGATTCCATTATAAATAAATTAAAATAAGTCAATTAATTAATTTCTATTATTAGTTTAATGTTGACAGATTGAAAAAATAACAAAAAAGGTGCAGTTTAAAATAAAATTGTTTTGTCAATTAATTCTATGATAGAAGAGCTTAATTGAAATGACTATTGATACATTTGTCTGTGCAAGCCAACATGGAGAATGTCTTGATTGTATTCAAGTTGTCTTTCTTTGAACACTATCTAAGGTCACGTCAGTATACACATGATGGCTATTCTGGCAGATGAAACATGTTGACAAATATCTGTTACTATCTGAGGAAGTATTTGCCAGGTACTCCGCAAAATAAGCTTCTACTCCCAAGTTGTAAAGGATATGTCTATTTGATGTAATTCAAATATCTGGCGAATTGATATTTCACTTCCGGAATTGCTAAGTGTTATCAGTAAAAGGTCAACTAAAATCCTCGGTGTACATTTCATCTGGTGAAAAGTTCCATCAGAAGCTGTCTTTTTCGTCAATCATTTTACTACTTCAATGTAACCGCTAAGATCAGATGATGATACTGATGATGATGATGCAAAACATGCATGGTGTTTTCTAAAATCATCTTTCCTCTTTCTGGTCGGAGTGGAGTGACAAATTAGTGTAAAATTCAGTTAATTTTTCCTAGCTGTTCAATATTTGAATGTTTACAACAACCCGTATGTTTTTCTTTCTCTATTTATCGTAGGTCTAGATGCTACAATGAGTGACATGTAACAGATGGAAGGGATGGATGACTTTGATACATATTACGACGAAATTGATGAGGACCTTATACAGGCATATCTCAATGGCGAGACCATTGATCCGGAGCTTGAGGCCTTCCTGTCCTCGTACGAAAAAAACTATGGCCAAGAATATGAAGAGATTCCAAGTCTCTCTCTGCTGGAGGTTGGGGAGAACTGCATGCTCCCCGTACTCACTGAGGCCTTAAAGGTCCTCCTGCCTTTGTTGGCACTGTCCTTTATATTCAAGCTTATATCAAATTTGTGGAAACCAGGTATGATATAAGATGGGTAACATATACATACTGTATAACATGAAATGTTCCTTGTGTATTAACATTCGTGGTTTTCGTGGTTGCTATTGTACCACGAAAATAAATACAACAAATTTGAATGATACACGTGTCTACTGTTTGTTAATATAGGATATACGTGAAAGTTTCTACCACGAAACGATCTAAAAGGCTTCAAACCACGAATGAAAGTACCCACGAACATTCCGTGTTATACAGTAATAATTTAATTTTGCCTATCTTCCCCATAATAATTATTTTGGTATATATCGTCTATACCTATAAAGAAAAACAACTGATGACGGAACTACTTTTTACACTTCAGAATGCAAAATTACAACGCCGCTTTTTTTTTAGCGCAATTGTTTTTTTTTACGTAAAAATTAAATAAATCTTTAACTGTGCATTTACAACGTGTTTGTCTACTTTTTTAAAATTAAATTATAAAGAATGACCAAGATTTGTTTTTGGTATATACGGTATATACCGAAAACAAATCTTGGTCATTCCTTAGGTAGTTTATGTACAATATTGACAAATTTTAACATAATTTACAAATCCTAAACTTATGCAAACTATTTGTCTGTGTAAGATGCATAATAAAATCAGGAACATTTATGTGCCATTTGTACCAGTAGTCAGAAATATTGTTTCACAAAATCAAAATGCTGTTGTGATATTCTGTATTTTGTTGCCTGTAAAATTAGAGTTAGATCTTAGATCTAGAGCTTAATTTATGTTCAGAATCCTATCTGAATTTGTCAATTTATTCGTGAATGTACAATAATTTTAGAGTTTAGCTTTTATAGAACCTAATTTGATATGTAATACCTAGAATTTTAGAGCTGGATTTGATACAGCATTCAGAATTTTATCTTAGAATTTAGTTTGATGGATTATTCAGATCGAAACCTCTCTTAGACCTGAATTTGATGCTGTTTTCAGAATCCTATTTTCATATGTCATACATGTATGTTCATAACAGTCTTGAATAAATGTTTGATTTATTTCAGATAAATAGTACTTTTTATCGTCATTTTTATCATTAACCATCAGATAATGGTTTTGCAGATGCTGAGGAAGTTGGAGTTCCACGCTCGTTTCTGCACCTGACAAGTGCCCTATTTGGTATTTTGGCGTTACATCTGGTGTTTTCGCGTGACTTGGTGTACATCCTGTACTGTTGTTGTCTAGTTTACCTCGTCCTAATTGCCGTCCATGTCCTGCGTCGCCAGTACTGTGGAATTGCTGTCTCGGCCTTCATTGTTGTCTATGTATTATTATGGTATGTTAACTATCTTGTTATCATCATTCATCATCAAGTTATATTTCTCTGTGCAGCAAATTATGTCGGATTGGCCAGAATGCCTTAGGTACTCATAATGTGCTGTAAAAGAAGAAAATTCTTGAATTTTGCCCTTTTAACTTTTGAGGAATTAAACTGTATGGCCAAGCTCACACTGCGGTCAAAACACAAATTCAATGTCAATGCCATAACCTCTGACTTGATGAAGATGACTCAATGACATTTTTGGGATATATGTAGGATGGGAAGGCAGTGTGTCACATACCCACTTTTGGGGTCTGTACACCTAAGGTCAGGGCCTTATAAGATCAAATTGTTAGTCCAATGCTTAACTTCTGTATCTCAAAACAAAAGTAAATGTATAATGAAAAAGCAGTTTGTTGCATACCACTTTGGAGTTACAGTCACACCTGCTTCAAACCATCAATACATGTTACTACACAGTATTACCATCTTGAGGTCATTTTAAATTAAATATTGTTTTGTTTCAGTGAGCTCTATCTTGTGGATGAAACAGCATGGCATAGAGTAAGAGGTAATGGTTTTTGTCTTTATATGTCTTACAACATGACATGCAGAAAGGGATACTTCAGAAGGGCTCTGTCTTACAACATGACACACAGTAAAAGTTACTTCAGAAGGGCTCTGTCTTACAACATGACACACAGTAAGGGGTACTTCAGAGGGGCTCTGTCTTACACCATGACATACAGTAAGGGGTACTTCAGAGCGGCTCTGTCTTACAACATGACATACAGTAAGGGGTACTTCAGAGCATCTCTGTCTTACAACATGACATACAGTAAGGGGTACTTCAGAGCGGCTCTGTCTTACAACATGACATACAGTAAGGGATACTTCAGAGGGGCTCTGTCTTACAACATGACATACAGTAAGGGATAATTTAGAGGGGCTCTGTCTTACAACATGACATACAGTAAGGGATAATTTAGAGGGGCTCTGTCTTACAACATGACATACAGTAAGAGGTACTTCAGAGAGTCTCTGTCATTGTCTTACAACATGACAGACGATAAGAGGAAATTCATACGAGCACTTTTATATCTTACTAAAAAACATATAGTGAGATGTAATTTAGAGGAGCTCTTTGTATTTCTCGCTACATATACATTTAGTACAGGTTATTATTCTTCGTCTTACAAGACATATGGAAGAGACACAGAGCTTTGTATCAATGAGGACATGATACACAGCAAGAAGTAAACATTAAGGGGCTGGAATAAGGGAGAACTATTTTAAAGGACCTCTGTCTTTGTATTTCTCACAATATGACAAACAGTACCTGTAGATGATGACTTATAAAGATCTCTGTCCTTGTACAGTTCACAGCCATATCAGGTACATACCTGTTAAAATTGTACTGTACTTCCTGTATTCAGAAGTTGGCCATGACCAATTGTAAACCTAATAATAATTTCTTTCACCAGGTGCTCAGATTATCATGTCTATGAAGGTAATAGGTCTGGCGTTTGATGTCGCTAGCGGAGCTGAGGAGATGCCGTCCATGTTCGAATACCTCGGCTACGTGTTGTGTGTGGGCACTGTGATATTTGGCCCCTGGGTTAGCTACCAAGACTACAAAAACTTGCTATGTCAGGATCGTAAATCTATGGTAGGTTGTATTCTCATTATTTGTCTGTTAACAATATCAAGTTCAGCAAGGGGAGATAATTTTCCAAGTTTCAATTTTACTATATTACCTTGTGATTATAGTCGTTTGTGATAGAGTAGTTTCAGTTCTCTTCAGGCATTCCAGACAACATGTCATCCCTTCTTCAATATGTAAAATTAGGGAGTTAGTTACCATATAAATCAACCATAGCCATTATAGAAAAGGTTATAGCTATTGAACTTCATACTCTAAATATTAAATCATGAAAAATTAACCTTAATCTTACATCATGTTTTCAAGATCCTCACAATTATGGTTTGATTTTTGTATCTTTAGAACATGTGGTGGATAGTTCGCATTGCCAGAAGTGGTGCTGTCAGTCTGGTATGCATGGTCTACTCAACCTGTTTTCTCACAAACTGGCTCATCCCAAGCTCCAGCTATAGGTAAGTCTCCAGACATATGCCCACAAATAGTTCCCTATCTGTCTCTCCACACACCGACATATCCTGTGAACCAACTACAGGTATGTTCCCATCTGTCTCCCCAAACACTTGACACATCCTGAGAACCAATAACATCTGTGTCCTGTCTCCCCACATACCAACTACACATGTCCCCTGTCTCCCCACACATTAACACATCCTGAGAACCAACTACAGGTATGTTCCCATCTGTCTCCCCACACTACCAACTACACATGTCTCCTGTCTCCCCAAACACTGACACGTCCTGAGAACCAACTACAAAGGTCTCCTGTATCTCCACGCTGTCACATCCTGAGTACCAACTACAAATGTCTCCTGTATCTCCACAGTGACACATCCTGAGAACCAATTACACATGTCTATGTCTCCTGTATCTCCCCACTCCCCCATCCTGACTACCACCTGCACATGTCTCCTGTCTCGCAAGACTGACACATCCTGAGACCCAACTACTGTATCTCCACACTGACCCATCCTAAGTACCAACTACACATGACTCCTGTCGCTCCACACTGTCACATCCCGAGTACCACCTACACATGTCTCCTGTCTACAAACACACTGCCACATCCTGAGTACCAACTTCACATGTCTCCTGTCTCCACACACTCTGACACATCCTGAGTACCAACTACAGATGGCTCCTGTCTCCCCAAACGCTGACACATCCTGAGAAGGAACTACACATGTCTCCTGGCTCCCCAAACACTGACACGTCCTGAGAACCAACTACTCATGACTCCTGTCTCTCCACACCGTCAAATCCTCTCCTGTCTCTCCATACTGACATATCCTGAGAACCAACTAAACATATCTCTTGTATCTCCACACTGTCGCATCCTGAGTACCAACTACTCATGTCTCCTGTCTCTCCACACCGTCAAATCCTCTCCTGTCTCTCCATCCCGTCACATCCTGAGAAAAATATACACATGTCTCCTGTCCCTCCACACTGACACATCCTAAGAACCAACTACACATGACTCCTGTCGCTCCACACTGTCACATCCTTACATGTCTCTTGTCTCTCCACACTGTCACATCCCGAGTACCACCTACACATGTCTCCTGTACCTCCACACTGTCACATCCTGTGAACCAAATACATATGTCTCCTGTCTCTCCATACTGACATATCCTGAGAACCAACTACGGGTATGTTCTCATCTGTCGCCTCACACTACCAACTACACATGTCACCTGTCTCCCCACACACAGACACATCCTGAGTACCAACTACAAATGTCTCCTGTCTCTCCATACTGTCACATCCTGAGATCAAACTACACATGTCTCTTGTATCTCCACACTGTCACATACTGAGTACCAACTACACATGACTCCTGTCGCTCCACACTGTCACATCCCGAGTACCACCTACACATGTCTCCTGTATCTACACAATGTCACATACTGAGTACCAACTACACCTGTCTCCTGTCTCCCCACGCACCGTCACATCCTGAGACCCAACTACTGTATCTCCACACTGTCGCATCCTGAGTACCAACTACAAATGTCTCCTGTCTCTCCACACCGTCAAATCCTCTCCTGTCTCTCCATACTGACTCTCCACACTGACACATGCTGAGAACCAACTACACATGGCTCCTGTCTCCCCAAACACTGACACGTCCTGAGAACCAACTACTCATGACTCCTGTCTCTCCATACTGACATATCCTGAGAACCAACTAAACATGTCTCCTGTATCTACACACTGTCCCATCCTGAGGACCAACTACACATGTCTACTGTCTCTCCACAATGACACTTCCTGAGAACCAACTACAAAGGTCTCCTGTATCTCCACGCTGACACATCCTGAGAAGGAACTACACATGTCTCCTGGCTCCCCAAACACTGACACGTCCTGAGAACCAACTACAAAGGTCTCCTGTATCTCCACGCTGTCACATCCTGAGTACCTGTCTCCCCACACACAGACACATCCTGAGTACCAACTACTCATGTCTCCTGTATCTCAACACTGACACATCCTGAGCACCAACTACACATGTCTTCTGTATCTCCACACTGTCGCATCCTGAGTACCAACTACACATGTATCCTGTATATCCACACTGACACATCCTGAGCACCAACTACACATGTCTCTTGTATCTCCACACTGACCCATCCTAAGTACCAACTACACATGACTCCTGTCGCTCCACACTGTCACATCCTTACATGTCTCTTGTCTCTCCACACTGTCCCATCCTGAGAACAAACTACACATGTCTCTTGTATCTCCACACTGTCACATCCTGAGAAACAAATACACATGTCTCCTGTATTTCCACACTGACACATCCTAAGAACCAACTACACATGACTCCTGTCTCCCCAAACACTGTCACGTCCTGAGAACCAACTACGGGTATGTTCTCATCTGTCGCCTCACACTACCAACTACACATGTCACCTGTCTCTCCACACTGACCCATCCTAAGTACCAACTACACATGACTCCTGTCTCTCCACACCGTCAAATCCTTAGAACCAACTACACTCTCCTGTATCTCCACACTACATGTCTCCTGTCTCCACAAAAAATGTCACATCCTGAGTACCTGTCTCCCCACACACTGACACATCCTTATAACCAACTACACATGTCTCTTGTATCTCCACACTGTCGCATCCTGAGTACCAACTACACATGTCTACTGTCTCTCCACAATGACACTTCCTGAGAACCAACTACTCATGTCTCCTGTCTCCCCAAACGATGTCACATCCTGAGTACCGACTACACATGTCTCCTGGCTCCCCAAACACTGACACGTCCTGAGAACCAACTACTCATGACTCCTGTCTCTCCACACTGACCCATCCTAAGTACCAACTACACATGACTCCTGTCTCTCCATACTGTCACATCCTGAGATCAAACTACACATGTCTCTTGTATCTCAACACTGATACATCCTGAGAACCAACTACTCATGACTCCTGTCTCTCCACACTGACCCATCCTAAGTACCAACTACACATGTCTACTGTCTCTCCACAATGACACTTCCTGAGAACCAACTACATATGTCTCCTGTCTCTCCACTCTGTCACATCCTGAGTACCAACTACCCATGTCTCCTGTATCTCCCCACTCCCCCATCCTGACTACCACCTGCACATGTCTCCTGTCTCTCCATACTGACTCTCCACACTGACACATCATGAGAACCAACTACACATTTCTCCTGTCTCTCCACACCTGAGAAAAATCTACACATGTGAGTACCAACTACACATGACTCCTGTCTCTCCATACTGACTCTCCACACTGACACATACTGAGTACCAACTACACATGTCACCTGTCTCTCCACACTGCCACATCCTGAGAACCAATTACACATGTCTTCAGTCTACCCAAACACTGACACATCCCGAGAACCAACTACACATTTCTCCTGTCTCTCCACACCGTCAAATCCTCTCCTGTCTCTCCATACTGTCACATCCTGAGAAACAAATACACATGTCTCCTGTACCTCCACACTGACACATCATGAGAACCAACTACACATTTCTCCTGTCTCTCCACACCGTCAAATCCTGAGAACCAACTAAACATGTCTCCTGTATCTACACACTGTCCCATCCTGAGTACCAACTCCACATGTCTCCTGTATCTACACACTGTCCCATCCTGAGTACCAACTACACATGACTCCTGTCTCTCCACACCTGAGAAAAATCTACACATGTGAGTACCAACTACACATGACTCCTGTCGCTCCACACTGTCACATCCTCTACACATGTCTCCTGTCTCCCCACACACCGTCACATCCTGAGAAAAATCTACACATGTCTCCTGTCTCTCCATACCGTCACATCCTGAGAACCAACTACACATGTCTCCTGTCTCCACACACACTGACACATCCTGAGAACCAACTACACATGTCTCCTGTCTCCCCAAACACTGACACATCCTGAGAACCAACTACACATGTGTCCTGTCTCTCCATACCGTCACATCCTGAGAACCAACTACACGTCTACTGTATCTCCACACTGACACATCCTGAGACCCAACTACACATGTCTCCTGTCTCCACACACACTGACACATCCTGAGAACCAACTACACATGTCTCCTGTCTCTCCACACCGTCACATCCTGAGAACCAACTACACGTCTACTGTATTTCCACACTGACACATCCTGAGACCCAACTACACATGTCTCCTGTCTACTACACATGTCTCCTGTATCTCCACACTGTCACATGCTGAGAACCAACTACACATGTCTCCTGTCTCCCCAAACACCGACACATCCTGAGAACCAACTACACATGTCTCTTGTCTCTCCACACTGTCACATCCTGAGAACCAACTACACATGTCTCTTGTCTCTCCACACTGTCACATCCTGAGAACAAACTACACATGTCTCTTGTATCTCAACACTGACACATCCCCATACACTGACACATCATGAGAACCAACTACACATGTCTCCTGTATGAGAACCAACTACACATGTCTCTTGTATCTTCACACCGACACAACCTGAGAACCAACTACAAAGGTCTCCTGTATCTATCTCCACACTGACACATCCTGAGAACCAACTATCCTGAGAACCAACTACAAAGGTCTCCTGTATCTCCACACCGACACATCCTTAGAACCAACTACACATGTCTCTTGTCTCTCCACACTGTCACTACACACATCTCCTGTATCTCCACACTGTCACATCCTGAGTACAAACTACACATGTCTCCTGTCTCTCCACACTGACACATCCTGAGTACCAACTACACCTGTCTCCTGTATCTCCACACTGACACATCCTGAGTACCAACTACACCTGTCTCCTGTATCTCCACACTGACACATCCTGAGACCCAACTACACATGTCTCCTGTCTCCACACAACATGTCTCCTGTCTCTCCACACTGACACATCCTGAGTACCAACTACACCTGTCTCC